CTGGGATTACAGTACAGCTTCTTGCCACTAGGCCACCAGAGCTCACCAATCAACACTCTTAAGACCAGCAGTCAGGAAACTAAAAGATGAATTGCATTGGAAAAATCTGCTGTCATGAACCTCACCAGAGTGCTGAAGAGCAACGATGTCATTCTAGATACACAGGTGCACTTAATCCAGGCCATGGTCTTCTCAATTACGTGTTATACTTCAGAGAGTTGGACAAGGACTAAGAATGACAGAAGAAGAATAGAGACCTTTGAGTTGTGGTGCTGGAGAAGAGTCTTGAACATACCTTGAACTGCCAAGAAAACAAATAGGTCTGTCGTGGAGAGGGTGAAACCAAGTTTTTCCTTGAAGGCTAGGATTTTGAAGATTTGCCTCACTTACTTTGGGTATGTGGCCAGGAGAGATTGGTCCTTGGAGAAGGACATCATGCTCGGAAGGGTGGACAGACAGCGCAGGAGAGGGAGACCTTGGATGAAATGGATTGATACAGCAACTAGGGTAATGAGGGTATAGGTGTGCCAGAGTCAGTGAGCCTGGCTCAGAATAGGGCAAGTGTCAGAGCTGTTGTACATAGGGTCGCTATGAGGTGCACATAACGACATCAACAAAAGCATTCAATCTGTATGGTGATCAAATCAAGAAGTTGGATTATATGAAGGGAAATGTAGGATTAAGATTAGAGGAAGACTCATCAACAACCGATTCTGATTCATGGCAACTCCATGCATGTTAAGCATAGAAAACTGCACATCAAGTATTTCAGTCACTTTGATTTTTCAGAAGTGCATCCTCACGGCTTCCTTTTCAGGCTCCTCTGGGTAGATTTGAACTACTGAATTTCTGGTTAGCAGTTAAGTGCTTAAATATTTGTGTCATCCTATTTCTGAATAGAAAGTAATCTCCCCATTTTTGTCATGGGAAAGAATGTGTGATTATTGATTTTGAGTCCACAAGTCAGTTAAGTTGTTCTGTCTAGTGTGGTTGTCTCCACTCGGCCTGCCCCGGCCTGTGTGATCTCAAATGGCCTCTTGCATATTTGAGGGTTGGTGAGACATAGATTGGTCTTGGCTGAGGTGGCCAGGCCCACTTCCATGTGGTCTCTCATGCTAGAGACCAGGCTGTGCTAGGCTTGTTTATAAGGCTTGCAAGGCTAAAAGGGAATGAGCAGAAAGACATGTTCAAAGTCTACTGAGGCCTGGACTGAAAATTTGCACAATGGCACTTCAGTCACATGCCAAGTTACAAATCCAGTCCAGATTTCAGAGGTGGGAAAATAGATAACACTTCTTGAGGAGAGGAGCTGCCCAATTATATCACAAAGGGTACAATAGAGAGAGGAGTGAAAAATGAGAGCACAGCACTTTTTATAACTTTTTTTTGTTCTTTTTTATTGTTATTAATTAAAAATTTTTTTTTAATTTTTTTTATTTTTGTGTGAGTGTACCGTCAAATCAGATCTGACTGGTACAGGAGGAGATTATCCCTCCTTCCCCAGCAGAGCATCTGGTGGATTTGAACCATGCACCTCTGGGATTGTAGTTGCAGTTCCTTGCCACTAGGCCACCAGAGCTCCCCTGTTATTAATTTTAATGAAAATTTACAGAGACTTTGGATTTCCATTCATTCATTGTTTCACTTTTCTCCCTGCCCAACCCTCCCCCCAGTTTGCTCTTCTTTTTGAAAAGCAAAAGAAAAATTCTTTCATTATTATACAATCTCTCCCTAGCATAGCACTTTTCATAACCATGATCCTTGAACTGATCTATACTGTGTTTTATTCATGAACTTGATCTACACAGATCATGCATTGACAGTTCTAAACTTTGTTTGCTTTTCCAGAAGGAAAAGGTGGGATCGATCTGCTGGGATTTAGAACAAATTAATACATGCAGAGGGTGTGCAAATGGATACATGATAAATAGACTTGCTAGGCCAGTAATAATAAAGCAGTCTAGATTGTTCTCAGAAATTTATTTACATGCATCAGAAGAGAGCATTCATTTGTGATTAGGGTGAGTGTGTGTTTCTGTTAAAGTCTTGAAACATGGCTTATTAACTAAAAAAGGCCCCTTTCATGTCTTAAAGAAATTCAACAAGACACTTTACTATGAAATGTTACTGCCGGACTGGCTTTCATGAAACATTAATTTGTAACACTTTCTCCTGAACTAGTATCTATAGTCTGCCTTCCAAATCTACTAATAATATATAAAAGCAAGAGTACAGTTTTACATAATCAAATATTGATTTATCTTAAAGTTGAATGCATTTGATTATGACTTTTCTTTGTTATCTTGAACTCTAATCTACAGAACCAATATCCTTGACTTTAATTTTGCACGTCAGAACTCTGGATGATATATTTTTTTTCATCACCCAGTTTTGCAGTCTTGTTCAAGAATGAAATACTATTCCTAACATATTTATTCTTAGCATATGTTGGTATTACTCTCATATATCAAAGAACTCCTGCCCTCTAGTGTCCATAGAGGTTGTTACAACCAGAATCAAATTAGCAAATTTGCAGTTAGGTGCTGTGGAGTTGAGTATGACTCCTAGAGACCCTGTGAACAACAGATCTGAATCTGTCCTACTCTGCACCATCCTGACACACTTGAGCCCATTGCTGAGGGTCTTCATCTCTTTAACTGACTTTCCATCTTTCCAAGCATGATGCTTCTTTCCAAGTAATAGCCTCTCCTCTCAGCATGCCCAAAGTATGAGGCAAAGCTTTGCCATTCTTGTCTCCAAGGAGCATTCTGGCTGTACCCTCTCTAAGACTGGCAAAAATACAGCACCACTACATTCTAAGGAGACTTTTTTTTTTCTTATCAGAGAGCTTGCTCAAGACAACCAAGTAAAGTTGTACAGTTGGAGCAGGACAAAAAGACTGGGCTTAATCGTCAAAGTCCACCCTGTACTCTTCCCAGCCATGGACCTTATGTCTGGGCTGTGTGTGCCATCAGCAATTTAGTCAAGTGTGTCATTCATCCACCAATCGTTTTACACACCTATTTTGTATACAATTTTCTAATTAATATAAATCCTGTATAGGTTAATGTTAACTCTATGGAAGTTTAAGAGTCAGTTGGACACGGTTTTTATCATTTAAGCTTCCTATTCAGAAATTAAATTACATAGAGCTGAATGACATCATATGCCTTAACATTATCAGAGGAAAGAAATGAGGTATAGTGAGAATTGCCAAGAGACTCAATTGTGCAGATCTTTTGGCTTCCAAAAGTTCATACTCTGAAGTCTTATCTGCAGCTCTCAGTTGTCCCTTTATTTGACTTACATTATCTGTCCCATTCTAGGCTCAGAGTGGCTAGCTATTTGCTAAGTGAAAGAATGAAAGATAATTTAACCCTATTTTCTAATGATCTCTTCCCCAAACTGCCACAATTTCCACTCTTCTACTTTGATAATATTATTATTCCAAGCTGTAATGCTCACATCTCTCTTTTCTTGATCAACTCGTAGGGAACACTGGTGGCACAGTCTGTAGTGAGATGCTCTTCTAACCCAAAGACTAAATCCTTCCAGTGGTTCAAATTCACCTGCAGGAGAAAAATGGACCTTCTCCTCCTGAATGATGTGCAGCCTTGGAAGCCAAATAGGAGGCAGCTCTGAATTGATTCTGACTCAATGGCAGGGAGTAAGTGAGTGAGGTCAATTCTGACATTGGATCAGCTTCCATGTTTAGTTACAGGTTCACTTCTTCCATGAAACTTTTCTTTTGCAGCCTTTATTAAGCTAGAGAAAGGATCACCATTAATGAAGGTTGAACATAGGTATTCAGACTTAATGGAAAGAGTATTAGATTTGATTCTGGGACCTTCATTCTAGATTCAGATCTGTCAGGAGAAGTCTCTATGATCTTGAATAGATCCTAAGACTTATTTATACTTTCTTTTTTCTTCTCAATAATGAATGGCCTAAGTTGCTCAGAATATGGTATATCTAATGCTGGTGAAATTTGATATATGTACAATTATTTTTGCTGGAAAAGCACTTGTTTTCATGTATTTTTAAAGAAAATAAAAACATACATTCTTAGTTTTCAAGGTATTTATTATATATGACAAGTTTTAAGTTTTAAAAGGAATTCAGTTTCAGACAAAATATTAAGGAAACCATAATACTAATAATGCTTAAATACAGCAGAAATTATAAAGTGTTGGGCAGATGGTAGAGATTTGGGGAGTACTAGAGGCCTATTCATTCAGATCTCTTTAGATGCTCTTATTGGACCAGTTCTCTGAAATAATTTAGTTCTAGCATTCCCTTATTGTTGTTATATATCTTAATTCTATAATATATATAATTAATATATACTTTTATATACTATATATATATAAAATTATATAACATATATGCTAGGTGTTAGTATCTGTATCTTGTGTCTTGGCTTTGTCTCATACTCTTCTATGTCATCACAGTATTAGCCACAAAGTAGATATTCAAAATGGGTTGTGACTTTGTTGATTTTCTTATGTTGCCTCCAGCATTCTCCCTCTCTCACACATGTATACACAGCATCAACCCAGAGTGGCATGGTGCAAGGTTAAATACCAGAATCCATGTTTATAAATGAAAATCTTTTTCTGTTTATAAAAAGAACATGGACTCATTGGATAAAATTTGGAAAATATAAAAAAATCTAACCAAACATGAGCCTTGTTAATATCTCTCCATAGTAAAATGTTCTGCAGGATTTTAGCAGTTGAAGATTTATCTTTTTGGAAACTTGGAAGCACTTTGGTTCAGGGTACTATCGTCCTCACTCAGAAGTTTTCTATGGAGAATCCCCTGGTGGAGGTCTACTGGCACCTCCATAAGCAGCTGTAGAGAGCAGAGTCAAAGCTGGCAAGAGATTCTGCAGATCTAGGATGATAATTGATGTTTTACAAACTGTTGTGTATGTCGTGCTCTATGCTTTTAAGAATGGTTTGACATTGTGTGTGAATACATATTTATCTTTTCTGTAGGGTTTCTGGAGTCTCTGGATGACTTTTACATCCTTAGCAGTGGTTTGATATTGCTGCAGACCACAAACAGTGTGTTTAATGAAACTCTACTAAAGCAAGTGGTACCTCAGTCTCTCCTGGCCTGGCAGAGAGTTCGTATAGCCAATATGATGGCAAAGGATGGGAGGACGTGGGCAGAGATCTTTTCAAAATACAACTCTGGTAAGTGCTCTTCCAGAATAATTCTTAGGCATCTGTGTAAATTCAGGTTGGCAGTCAACAAGTCTAAAACCCATACCCTGCCTTCTTGATATTTCAGGCACCTACAATAATCAATACATGGTCCTGGACCTGAATAAGGTAGAGCTGAATAAGACCCTTAACAATGGTACTTTGTATATTGTGGAGCAAATTCCTACATATGTCGAATATTCTGAACAAACTCAAGTTCTACGTAAAGGTACTTTCTTCATGCTAGAAATCTGGAATTGTGATGAATGTGTATGTATGTTTATGTATGGTGGGAAGGTATAGTGAGAAATGAAGAAGGAAGCATCACTGCTAGTTACACTAGAAAAGAATTAATAGGCTCAGAGTAATGTGTAAAACCTTTACCTCTTAATAGCATACTTACTATGCTACAGTGTGCACATTCAGAAACAAGTTGGGCACTCCGATCTTATGGCTTCTCAAGGCTCTAATAGTAGTTTCTCTAAAAGTTTCTTCTAAAGCTTTTAGTTCAACATCAGCCCAGAAATTGTAAGCATGCAAAATATAAAATCTCTGCCCTTGAGGAACTCAAAGTCTAGTAGGGAACTAAGATACTGTAGTCATTGAAACTTGGAATTCTGTCAAGAACTAGGTAGTCTGATGTACCAAGCCCAGTGTGAAGAGGGCACCATTGCCCCTAAGAGAGATCAAGGTAGGGACTCCTGGAAGCCAAGAACACAGATTTCTGAAGCTCAAGTTCTGGAGTCACATTGCCTGAGTGTGAATCTTTGCTTCCCCAAATCCCAAGAAAACCAACCTCTTCAAACCTTATTTTCTTCATCGGCAAATATCTGTCACTCACTGCCACTGAGTTGGAACCAATTCATAGCTGATCCTTCAGCACATTTTTAGCATGGGAGGAGCTGCCCATCTTAATCTATGGAGCTGCTGATGGAGTTGAAACCACTCGCATTTGGGTTGGCAGGGTTGTAACTGCTGCCCACTAGGCCACCAGTGCTGGCCCTTAAAAATATGACATTAAGGGAAATAAATCACAAAATGAGAAATATTAGATGAAATATGTAAAACAGGTAAATGAATAGAGAACAAAAGCTTATTAGTAGTCAGAGGAGCCCTTGTTGGGCCAGTGGTTAAATGCTCAGTTGCTAACCAAAAGGTTGGTGGTTTGAACCCATCCAGAAACTCTATGGGAAAAAGACGTGGCAATCAATGGACTCCTGGATGACCCTCCCTTTAATTTCCAAGATAGAAAAACCAAACGGGAAGAAAATGCATACATTTCCCAGACCACTGATGGATTCAAACCACCAGAGAGGTGTGGCTTTTGAGTTAGCTGCTCACTTCTGTCAGTGATATGGCTGTGAGTCAAAAAGCTGTGCAGTGACACATAACAAGAGCAGTGGGAGGCTTGCTGGGGGAAATGAGAAAGGGGAACAGTTGCTAAGGGGTACAGAGTTTACATTAATTGTGACTGGAAAATGTGGAAGTGAGTAATAATGGTGGAGATGCTTGCACAACATAGTGAGCAGCATCAGTGTAAAAACTGATTTACATCAATGTTAATGTTTGTAATGATTTTAATTTTATACTGGTTTCCATACAAAATTCATATACATTGTGTCTCACACATGCCCCCACCCACACCATGTTTTCACATGATCATGCCCATTGCCCATTCAAGTGTAAAAGTTGTTCAGCTGGTGTGTGTATATTTACCAAAATAACAATTTTGGCTGAAATTATTTAAACATTGTACAGATTCACATGACTTAACAATTCTGAAATTCCAAAACTAAAACTAAAAGTTATTTGTCTTAGTTTTATTTGGTAGCAAATCTGACCTGATTTGGACTCTGACGGCAGCAAAACTCATGTTAATTGTTGGTCCTTATTTGTTGCACAAGCGGGTTGGTTTTTGTTTTTTTTTTTTTTTAATTTAGGTTGTTTATTTTTCATTTCAATGAACATCTACAGAGATTTTGGGATTCCATTCATTCATTGTTGCACCCTTCTCCCCGCACAAACCCCTCCCCCCTCCCCCCCCGTTGGGTTTTTTTTCTTTATTTTTTATTAATTTTAATGAAAGTTTACAGAGACTTTTAATTTCCATTCATTCATTGTTGCACTTTTCTCCCTGCCCACCCCTCTCCCGCAATTAGCTCTTCTCTTTGAAAAGTAACATTTTTTCATTGTTATACAATACCTCCCCCCAATTTCACTTTGGACTCCTGTCATGACAATAATACCTAATAATATATCCCCTTTAAACAGTTCTCTCCCTCATCAGTTTCAATGCAGTATACATAATTTATCAATTTATCCCCTCTTTCTCAGTCTCGCCCTAACCTCTATGTCAGTCATGTTTTATAACAGTGGCATTGTGCAGTATTTGTCCTTTTGTGACTGAGATATTTCACTCAGCATAACGTTCTCCAGGGTGACCTATTTTGAATAATAATTCATGAGTTCCTTATTTTTCAATGCATCATAGTATTCCATTGTGTGAATATACCACACAGCTTCTCTATCCATTCGTTTGTTCATGGTCAAGTGGGTCTTTATGAGCACTTAGAATTAAAAGCCTTCTGGGCATTTAAAAACTATTTTAGAAAAGTTTTAGAAAAAGGTGACAATACCCTTCAAAGGAATAAAATGAACACACACACACACACACACACACACACACACACACCTCAACCTAAAACCAGAATCTCAAACAAAAATTAACTCAAAACAGATTAGAAGATTAAATGTGTAAAACATGAAGCTATACAACTATTAAAGAAAAAATGTAGAAAAACTTTAGGAGCTAGTGATTTAAGACTTATTAGGATGGACACAAAAATAACAAGGAGAGAAAACATTAATAAATTAAAATTCATTAAAAGGTTTTAAAATAATTGAAAAGAATCTATTAAAAAGATGAAAAACTAAAAAAAAAAACCTATTTATTTTTTAAAATCTCCTATCTCTTCCTTCATGTTGTGGATTCCCAATGACAGTCTACAAATTTTCTTTCAAGGTCAAAAGAGGTTTTTTGGTTGTTTTGTTTTGTTTTAAGAAAAAGAGAAGTGAGAAAGAATTATAAATAGTTTTGATGGTCAAATTCACACAATTAAAAAGCTAGTGAGTAACTCTGACTAAGACCTAGGGAATAGCCTGTGCTGGGGACTCGGGTTTTTTACACCCTGTGCTGTGTCCTACCATCCTGGGTTGGCACTTGGTTTCTCACTTGATAGGACAATGTTATGAAACCATCTCTTGGCAAATTCACTGTGATGCATTCCCCACATTACTCTGCCTTATTTACTCTCTAAAGAGTAAGGTTATTTCCTCACGTAGAGTTTGCTTCAGCTTCTGAATGAAAAACTAAAGAATGCTGATGTTCCTTCCCTGGTAGACTTTTTGTAGGTAAGAAGTTATTGACGTAAGAATTTAGCAGGCAATTAAAATTAAATATAGTTCCTACTCCACAAAGAGAGTTTGTGCTCATTTATAAAACGACAGGGATGCCAATACTTAAAACACTGGTTTGGCTGCCAGTGTTCACATTCAAAGTTTTAGTTTCCCTGTATCCGTGCCAATCTTAAAAAGAATCGTTAATAACTTATTTCTTTGGTTCCCTCCCTCCTGTTTTCTCTGCCTTTGTCATCTCCACCTTCCATTCCCTTCTTTTCAAATCAGGATACTGGCCTTCCTACAACATTCCTTTCCATGAAAATATCTACAACTGGAGTGGCTATCCGCTGCTGGTAGAGAAGCTGGGTTTAGAGTTCTCTTATGAAATGGCTTCACGAGCTAAAATCTTCCGCCGAGATCAAGGGAAAGTGACTGATTTGGAGTCTATGAAATATATCATGCGATACAACAGTACGTAGCACATTTCTCAAGACTCATTCTTCAAAACTTCTTTTCTTCCCCATGGATAAAGAATCCATGTAAGTTTATCATCTCTGTACTAAAAGGAATTTTAAGAAGTTATTGACTTAAGAACTTAGCATTGAATTAAAATGAAACATATTTTGTAGCTACAACTAGAATTTGTCCTTATTTATAAAATGAGAGGGTAAGATGATTATATATATATATATATATATATATATATATATATATATATACACACACACACATATATATATATTTTTAAAGTCATAAAAACCAACAAACCCAACACATGGAGAACCAGAAGTTATGCATGCAGGTTATTTAGCTCTCCCTACAAAATACCTATTTCAATATCAAAAGCAAATTATTTATAATTAACTTTAGTTTTGATTTAAAACCCCCCACCCCAAACAGCACCTCACTGCTCCAGTTCCTAATATCCCTCCACCATGTTTGCAAGCCTGTGACTCTTGACAGGAGACTGCCCATCTTTCTCCCAAGGAGAATCCATCTCCGATGGATTCGAAACACCAAGCTCATGGTTAGCTGTCTGATACATTACGTACCACACCACAAGAGTTTGGATGAGGCTATCAAAGTCAAATTTATATTTCTTTTGTTGGCAGGATTGTCTCGCATGCTGATTCATGCATAGTTTTTCCTCTATTACTGTTTTTCCACTCACCCTTCACCAAGTATGCTTCCTTAGGGAGACGGGGATTAGGGCAAGGGGTTAGAAGTTATTTTCTTGCTTACAAGGCTGAGTAACATCTTTTGGTTATTATCAAGTGTAGTGTGTGCAGTGCAAGCAAAGGAAAGCCCATATCTGGGAGCAGGTTGAGATCAAGTGGTCTATCAGTAGTATACTTTGAATATAGGCTTTAGCAGACCCAAAAAGCTTACTGTGCACAGGCCCATCTTGTAACAGCCAAGACTCTCACTCTTTTTGCCATTATTTTTTCCTAGATTATGAGAAGGATCCTTATAGTAATGGTGATCCCTGTAATACTATCTGCTGCCGTCAGGACCTTAACTCATTTAACCCAGTCCCTGGAGGTTGCTATGACACAAAGGTAATGTGCAATTGACTTTTTTATTTCATTCCACCAGCACGTAAGACATATTAAAGGTAAAGGTGCTGAGATTTTTGTGGTCTAAAACACAGCACTTGTCTTTAACCATAAACTTAATTCAGGAATCAATTTTTCAGTGATTCTGATCCAAATCCCTAAAGACTTGCCTCACTCCAAGTCTTCACTCTGCTATTTAATAATGTTTAATCTTCTCATCTATAAAATGAAAATAACAGTATTTACTTCATTTGTGAAGAATGAAGAGAGAGTACTTATTCAATGTTTAGAACAGTACCGGGTGGGTTATAGTAGATAAGTAATTATGATGGTAATATTGTCTCAAGTTACACCAAACAGGTCCTGTCTGGTATAACCAAACAACACACTATTCAGAGCAATGTGATTCCATACCAAATATTAATTTAGTGGAAGGAAAAATTGATGTATATACTAAAAAGCTTACCTGTTTTTTGAGTTGAGTGCACCAGTGTCTCTTAACAGAGTTAATAAATGGGTAGTGATATGCTGAAACTAGTTCAAAGACCAACTGTAAAAGCCAATTAATTTCACTAACTTGAAGTTGACCATGGTAGGAGAATCTACACTACAGAAATCAGGAGCTGTTACAACGTTGTTAAACACCGACCTTCAGTGGATTTGGATTTGGGGTAAGGTAGCCTTTTGGTTGGTGGGGGCAAAAATTATTCTACTCACAACCTTTTGCATTTTGGGGTTGAGTTTACATACTTTTATTTTTGTTGTGAGACTGATTTTTTTTAAAAAAAGAAAAACATTGGTTGTTACTTTGAATAACCATTTTATTTTTAGCTCTGAAAACTACTGATGAACATGCAGCCCAGCCCCCTACAAATTACTTTCCATTAGCCTAAAATGTCAGAGTAATCTGAACTTCAACTTTTAGATATGTAGTAGCAAAGCTTTGGCCTTAATGACTCTCAATGTTGTCACATTTAAATATATATATATTGCCTTGTAGAAAATGGGAATCTGAGAACACTTGATTGTGCTTATGTGAAACCTATACTTGGATCAGGAGCGGTCCTCAGAACAGAGCAAGGAAATACTATACGGTTCAAAATCAGGAAAGGAGCATGTCAGGGATGCATTCTGTCTCCATATCTTTTCAATCTATATGCAGAACAGATCATTTGGGAAGCTGGCCTTTTTGAGGAATGTGGCATCAGGATTAGGTCCTTGCTGAAGAAGGTCAAGGACTGTGGTCTTTAATATGGATTGAAGCTCAACATCAAGAAAACAGATTCTCACCACTTGGCCAATTGGCAGCACCATGATAGACAGAGAGTGAGGCTGTTAACAATTTGAGCTTGGCTGGCTCCACAATCAACACTCTTGGCACCAGCAGTCAGGAAATCAAAAGACAAATTGCACTGGGAAAATCTGCTGTCAGGGACCTCTTCAGAGTACTGAGGAGAAACGATGTCAGTCTAGAGATTAAAGCGCCCAATCAAGGCCATTGTCTTCAAAATTTCTTGCTATGCATCAGAGAGCTGAGCAATTACTAAGGATAACAGATTTGTGGTGCTGAGGGAGTCTAGAATATACCATGGACCTCTAAGAAAACAAATAGATCTGCCTTGGAAAGGTTGAAACTAAGTTTCTCCTTTGAGGCTAGGATTTTTAAGCTCTGTCTCATATACTTTGGGCACATGACCAGGAAGGACCAGACCCTGGAGGACATCATGCATGGAAGGGTAGAGGGACAGAGCAGGAGAGGAAGACCCTAGATGTAGTAACTGGGGCAATGGGATATCAGTGAGATGGGCTCCAGACCAGGCTACTGTACAAAGGGTCACTATGAGTAGCAGGAGACTCGAAGGCATATAACAACAACACAACATATTTGGATGTAGAGACTCTGGCACATATTGAAGCCCCAGGGAATGTTTTGTGTTCTGCATATGCTTTTAATGTTATTTGCAAACATTCAATGAAACCTTCTTTCCATGCTAGCATAAAGCAAACTATCTCTACTGCTGGGAGAAACCAAGTCGAAAAATCAATGCAGCCTGCATTTCCTAGGGAAGTCTATGTTCAAGGCAAGGATCTACTATCTTTTTACTTAAAAAGGTTCTATTGCTATGCTGCATTGAAAAACAAGGAACTCATGCAATATTATTCAAAATGGGTGAACCTGGAGGACATTATGCTGAGTGAGGTATCTCAGTCACAAAGG